GGGGTCCAGCGCTCCACTGACCAGGGGGTCAGGCACCGCCCAGCAGTGGCACACCCCTCCCCCTCCCTCAGCAGAGTGGTGGGCCTGGTAACTGTTTTCGGCAGTGTCTGGCCCGGGCTCCCAGTGCCCAGGGTTGAGCGAGTCTCTCAGGTGGTGGGCTCCTGGTGTTGCTTGGTGACAGCTTCCTTTGAGGAACCAGTACCTGGGGCCACCATGCTTAGTGACTCCTGTGGCTTTCTCCGTGGCCAAGGACCATGTGTAAAAACCACGGAGAACATGGAATACTTCCTCCCTTAAAAGGATCTCCTTGGCCTGGTCTGCTGGTGACCCACCTGTTACCTGGTCACCCATCCTCGGTCCCCCATGTCCACCTTGGCTGGCCCCCTATGTCCCCAGCCCCCAGATTCCTCTGTCACTGTCTTGCCAGCACTGTCAGCTATCCCAGGGTTCACTGGAGCAAAGACATCCCAGGCCAGCAGTTGCTGCCTATGGGACCATGTGACTCGTGGGTGTAACCTGGTGCCCTAGGAGGACCCCAGATGTGGGCAGTGCAGCCTGCCTTCTGTTTATGCCATAGGTACTGGGGCTTCTTGGCCCTTGGGCCTCTCACCTGGCCCCACTTGAGACCAGGGTTCCACAGTCCCCTCCAAGAACACGCTCAGAATGACCTAAGGACCTCCCAACAGTGCCACCCTGGGAACCCAGCCCTCAAACACCAGGGATCCTTGGGGGACACAACTGAACAATAAGCCACATTCATGCCACAGCACTGGACTAGAATCGGGTGCCAACAGGCGGCCGATCTTCTGGAGGCTTCAGGAAACCCATTTCCTTGCCTTTCTGTTTCTTGGGGCCACCACGTTCCCTGGCCCACTCCTTCTTCTTCCACCTGCAAAATCAGCAGGGTGACGTCTCTGATCCTTCTTCTGTTTGTGAAGGATGCAGGTGAGAAAGGTCCTGCCCTTCTCAGGATTCTTGTGGGCCATCTCCCACCTCAAGGTCTTCCCCCTAATCACACGGCACCATCCTTCGTACCATATAAATCAATCCCACAGGCTCTGGGAATCAGGACGTGGACACCTTTGGAGTTACTGGTGTGCTGACATCCAATACAAATTGCTGAATATACTAAGAAGTAGAATAAGGAACTCAAGGGAAAGGACAATTAGCAGAAGCTAACTCTGGGGTGACACAAAGGTGAGATTATCAGGTAAGAATTCTAAAATAGCAAATATCATCACATTCCACAAGGTAAAGGTAAATATTCCTGAGACAAGCAAACAGAAAAAAAATTAAGTCTCTACAGAGAAAGAGACTATAAAAAAGAATCAAATGGGAATTTTAGAACTCATAGAAATATGAAATAAACACTTCACTAGATGAACTCAATAATAGAATGAAGATGAGAGAGAAAAGAATCTATAAAGTTAAAAACAATTCAATAAAAATCATCCATTCTGAGAAAGAAAATATTAGAGAAAAAGAACAGAGCATCAGGAACTCATGAGGAAATACAGAAAGAGTTAACATCTGTTTCAGCTGAGTTCCTGAAATGGAAGACAAAGAGATGGCACGGTAATTTTTTTTTGAAGAAAAATAGCTAAAATTTCCACAAATTTGGTGAAAGAAATAAACTTATAGGTTTAAAAAGATGAGGGAACCTAAAACAGAACAATCTCTAATATTTAAACAAGATGCATCATAACTAAGCATTAAAATTAAAACCAAAGAAAAGGAAATAGCTCTAATGGCAACTAGAGAAAAAGGAAACATCATTTACAGGGGACAATAATCTGAATGACTCTGTTTCTCATCAGAAACCATGGAGAACAAAAGAGAATAGACATCTTTAAAGTGCTGAAAGAAAAGAACTACCTGACCAGAATTCTATACCCAGCAAAACTACCAAAGAGACAGCAAAGAGCTCATCACCAGCAACTTACACTTTAACAGTGCTCCACGGAGTTCCCCAGGGTGAGGGAGCGCATCAGACATGGAGACCACCTGCAGCAGCAGGACAGGCTCATCTCACCTCTTACGTTTAGAAACAATCATATTATCTGAAGGTTTTCATGTTTGTAGACGTGATGCTTATGGCAAACGTCACATAAGGGAAAGGGCAAACGGTGTACCTGGCATGAGGTGTCTAGGTTTTACTTGAAGTGCCAGAATCTTACCTCTAAATGTCAGGTTGGCCATATACTATAATCCTTAGAGCACTTAAGAAATAATAAAATAAAACATACACTCAAAAGCCACTAGATAAAGTGGAACACTAAAAAATATTCCCATACCAAAAAGGGACATAACTGATGAAATTGGGAGAGCAAAAATAAAATGCAGCCTGGAGTCCAATGACACCAACGGTCATTCTAATAAAAATGCTTGGAATGTAACAATTAAGAGACAGAGATTGTTAAAAAAGAGATAGAAATTGATTTTCTGGATGCTAGCAATAAATTACAGAAACTTAAAATTTAAAAACAGTCCATTAATAGTAGCAACAAAAATGCAAAACACTCAGGTGTAAAGCTAGCAGAAACACACAGGCCTTTTGTGCTGAAAACACAGAACCCTGACGGGGCCGGAGAGGAGATGAGTGGTTCAGCACTTTCCCAGCCAAGGCCAGATCCTGGGTTTCAGGCCCAGTGCCACAAAACCAACCAACCACTACAACCCCACCAGAGCCAAGCTGGCATGGAAGCCCCTGGCCCTCAAAAGGCAAGTCCCGGCTCTGACTGAGTAGCCCTGGGCCCATCCAGAACAGAGCTGAGAACCTATGGCCCTGACTACAGGGGCTCACAGGCCTGTGGAGGCTCCGGCCCCAGCCCTTCCCATCCTATGTCCCTCCCAATCTCCCTCCTCTGCCCGTCCCCACTCAGCACCTGTGTCCAGGTACACACTGGGGTGGCCTCTGGCGCTGGCCTTGGAGGAGCCCAGGACTTGGGCCCAAGAGCCTAAAGAACGGGGACCAAATAGGCAGGCCAGGCCCAGCCCATGGAACCCTGGACAGGCTGAGTCTCGGTCTTAAATCGACAGGCTCTTCACACTGCCCCTGCCAGCTAGGCAGCTTGGAGTCACGACCCCTGCCAGGAGCCCTCCTTCCCAGTGTCTCTCAGAGGTGGAGGGTCAGGTGGAAGAGTGATGTTGGCGTTTTTGTTGCTTCATTCACTTACTTTGCTGTTTGGGAATATTCTTAAGTTTCAGAAAGTACCTCTGGCCCCAACATTTGAGAGTCCCTGCACTAGAAATGGGAGGAGGAGGATCCACCCACCCAGTTCCAGTCAGAGACATGGCCCAACAAGGTAGAACTGGAACTTGTTCTCTGCCTTCTCCAGTAACTGTTGAATTGCCTTCTGCAAAGCAGAGTGGGGGAACCGGTTCTGACCTGGCTGGCGATGGAGGGTGGGTGGGCTTCTGAGGGCTCCAGGGATCAGGTGGCAGTAGACCCTGACCTCCAACCTTGGGGCCCCGTCCACGGCTTTCCTTGGGAAAGCCTCCCAGAAGGAGGCTCCAAGCATGCCCTCAGGCTGCTGGGCAGCAGCACAGAAGCCAGCGAGGCCTGCCTCCCACCTCGAGGCGCCTGGCTTTCAGGTCCAGGGCTTATGGAGGCTCAGGAAAAGTGTGGCTGAGCTTCCACAGATGCCCATGGAGAGGAACCCTGGAAACTGGGAGGACGCGGCTCCTTCATGTGCTTGACATTGCAGAGAATGTGATTTGTAAGTCCATCGATTCTCACCAGAGAATTCCCTCGGCAGAGGCCAGAGACCTCGGAGAAACCGCCACCCCACGTCTCAGATCCCCTTCTGGGCCTGCTGTGTTCTGGGCACCCCCTGGCACTGGGAAGGTCAAGAAACTACAGACACAGGTCAGAGGGCTCCAATGAACCTCGCAGGCAAGACTTGAAGGGGTAGGGCCAGCACAGTAGTGAGGACACCTGAACAAGGGGCACAGGCTGACCCTCGCCAAGTCTGAGACTGGCACCCGGCCCTCCACAGCCCTCTCCTCTCTGCTTTGTGCAAGTTTCAAACTTCAAGAAAAGTCACGAGTGAAGGAGGCGAGGCCAGTAGGTGCAGCCTCGCCTGAGGGTGCTGGCCTGTCTGTGGGTGGCTTTGAAGACCTAGCTTCTCCCTCAGGGCACTTGAGGACAGGGTGGACCTGACGCCTGGGCACTGGTGATGGGTGATCAGATGGCCAGTGCCCTCCCACAGCCCACTCCCCCAGATCCAGCTACAAAGGGTGCAGGGAGCTGCAGAGGGTCCAGGGGTCAGCAGAGCCCACAAGGAGCCCCCCACAGCGATGGGAAAGCAGAGATCTGCCCACACCTTCCATCTGCACAGTTACCTTGGGGCACAGCCCAGGCTGGCCCAGCAAATGTGGGGGACAGACGGATACTGCCCACTGGCCCTGAGGCCACCCCATGGCTCTGCTCCACGTCAGACCCAAGATCCCTCCTGCCAGCTCTTGCCGGACCCTGTGGTAGGCCTCAGCCCCCACAGGCTGTTCTCTCCTGCTCCCTGAAGGGGTCACAGACCTGGCAGGACTGGCCCAGGGAGAGCCAGCACCCAGGGCTCAGCACTCCCTCCAGGAGGAGAAAAGCCCAACTTCTGGTGAGACAAGAGTGGCCCCACCTGGGTCTACTGCCAGCGCAGGGGGAGCCCACATGGAGGAGCTTGGTGCTGACTTTTCTGGATGCTCAACTTGGAAAAGACATGTCTGATTTTTTTAGTAGGTTCCATCTCAGTGACAAGTGACCAGACAAGGAAGAATGAGGAACAGTCCTGATCCAGCAGGTGGGCCATGAGGCCAGGGTGGCTCTGTTCCAGCCTGGGGGCCTTGCCCCAAGAAGCTGCGCACCACCTGCAGACCCCAGCCTAGGCCACCTGGAGACAGTCTCAGGCGCTGTGCAAGCGTGAATGTTGGGGACTTCAGCTCCTTGTTACTCAAAGGGCCTCCTGCATACCCAGGCTGCACAGGGCCACCGTTCAGTGGGCACTCACCTCCAACAGCAGCCGTCCCTCCTGCACGGGGGACCCTCTGTGTGGACCGTCTCCAGGTGAGGAGGCCCCGGCCGACTGCACGTGTGTCTCCTGCACGGCTGTCAGAGAAGAGCAGACAGTGAGCCCTCCGTGAGACCCCAGGCCAGCTGTGGATCCTCTTAAGCAACACTTTTCTGGTTTACCCAGCATTCACCCCAGGGTTCTTGCTGGACCTCCAGTCTGGGCTGTGCTGCCACCCTGTACAGGACACACAGAGTTGTCCAGCAGCTCTGGAAAGCCCTACAGTTCTGGGGGGTGGGGGCAGCAGGCACAGGGACCAGGCCCCAGGCAGCATGGGGGACAGAGCCCAGATGGGAAGTGGTCCCTCAGGACCACCTGCCAGCTCTGCTCTCGGTCTGGCCCTGACTCCAGCACCCCGGATGAAGTCCAGTGTCTGCTACGTCCTGCCTACAACCCAGTTCACAGGGTCCTCACAGCTCCTTCTTGAGACTCAAGCCTTGGTAGACCCCAACATGGCCCTGCCCATGCCCCTCCCAGGCTGGGCAAAGCCCCTTTGTCCCCCTGCGCCCTGCATATTCTCTGTTCCCCTCACCTGGCCTGAGCAGGACCAAGACACAGGCCAGACAAGACATGGTGGGAAAGGAAGCCCGAGGGTGGGGCCTGGGGGGTGGAAGAGCAGTCCGGGGGTGCCCCTATCGCTTTGGGGTGATGTCTGAGGGGACTCAGACTCCTTCACAGCCCTGTTGACCAAGTGCTCATCTTGGGACACTGCTCTGGCCTCTAACTCCACAGCAAGCATCTTCGCTGCCATCAGGAGTCTCCACCTGGTTTCTGAGGGGCCAGAGGGGCCAGAGGGGCCCAGTAAGGAGCTGGCCAGGTGCTCAGAGGGCGGATCACAGGTGGCCACCACTTTTGGCCTTGTAGAAAGGCTGGGACGGGAAGCAGCCTCCTTTGCCCCTCAGACTTGAGGAGGAGAGCTGCCCCTCATTCGAGGGAGCCCTGTCCTCTCAGACAGATGTGACCCCAGGTACTTGTTCTGGTCTTAAGATAAAATAAACTGGTAACATGGGCACCTGAATCATGCTCCTTTTCCAAAAGGGCAACTGGGGAATCTTCCATTTGGGGACTGGTCCCAGGAAGGACTGTCTCATCTGGTGCCACTCTCATCAGATCTGCCCACTCTCGCTTGTCAGGGACATCACAGAGCTCTGATTCCAAAGCAGCACCCGAAGCCCCTTGTTCCTGCCTGGAGCCAGGTTCCCATGAAGGTGGGCTGCTGGCTGACTCCACCCCCACTACCCAGGGAGCCCAGCCCAAACAAAAACAAGCCAGCACAGGACCCGCACCTTCGGGAGAGACCCACTTCCTGTCCAGAGCCCACCTTGTTCTGGAGAGGCTGCAGTGGGCTATGCTGCTGCTAAGAAATAAAAGTGGTGCTTCAATGAAGTTTGCCTCACCTCCCACTCAGGCTGGGCTGGGCTTCTCCCCCATTCTAGAACAAGTGGGGTGGTTCTGCCACTTGCCCACTGTGAGGTTCAGGCTACAGACATTCAGTGCCATGCCTCCCACTCCCAGGTGATTCCCCCTAGACCTCTGTCCAATGTCCATGCGGAACACACTGACCATCTCCCTTGGGTTCTCAGCACTCTGGTGTCCAGGGACCAGCACATGGGCATGCTCTGAGCTAGTTAGAAGCACAGGCTCCAGCCCCAGGCCCACCTGCACACTCTGGGGTCCAGATGCTGTTTGACAGGCCTCCCCATTAGATCTGGGCCTGGCCTCAGGATGGGCTGGAGCATTGAGGACAGAATGAGCCCTCTCTCTGCCTAAACTGGGCTGGCAACCTCCACTCCCCCCAGAAGCCACGCTGGGGGAAATGTCAGACCCTCTGGTGCCAGGCGCAGAACCGCCTCGAGGTGAGGCCCTCCGGTGGCCAAGCCCAGGAGATGGTGACATGATGGCTGCATTGCAGCCTCTCTGTCCTTCCCTTTCTCAGAAGCCTTGGCTCCAGCGCCCGAGTCTCCTACAGCTAATAAGCACTGGATTTCTGTTCACTGCACTAAGTACCAAGCCACTTTACTTTTAATCCCTTAATAAACCATAAGTTTTTGGGGCTGGGGATGTGGCTCAAGCGGTGGCGCGCTCGTCTGGCATGCGTGCGGCCCGGGTTCGATCCTCAGCACCACATACCAACAAAGATGTTGTGTCCGCCGAAAACTAAAAAATAAATATTAAAAAAAGAAAAAAATAAAAAAATTAAAAAAAAAAATAAACCATAAGTTTTTTCTCCCTGGAAGACAGCCGAGGCCCTGGTATCACTGAGACGCAGGGGACGCCCGCGCGAGTCCAGAGGCCGCCAGCCCGGGCAGCACGGGGCTCGCTGGGGTGGGGGCGCGAGGGGCGGGGCCTGGGGGCGAGGGGCGGGGCCTGGGAGGGGCCAGCTCTGCCGCAGGCGGCGCACCGGGAGCTGCCGCCGCCCACGCCCCTCGCGCCCCAGCCGCTGCCGCCGCCCATCGCGTGCCCCGGGCGCCGCCGCTTCCTCCTGCGGCCACGGCCGCGTCACGCGAGGGCGGCTGATCGCGTGCGAGCGGAGCGTGGAGCTGCCGGGGCCGGACGCGGCACCGCCCAGCGAGCCCAGCCTGCGCCGGCGGCTCCTAAGAGCAGGTGTCCCTTCTGGGAGCCAGCGAAGGTGCCGAGGGTCTCTGTGACCCCAGTTAACCGCCTCTGCCCACTGCCATCCTCGCTGTCCGCGGATCCCGGGCAGGGCCGCAGGGAGAGGACGGCCTCGTGGGCCACCGCAGTGAAAGAGTGGGCAGCCCTCTTTCTGAGCCCCAAGGCTGCATTCCCAGGCAAGAGAGGCGCAATCGGGGCCGCCCTGGAAACAAGCAGGATTCCCAAGTCCCTGCTGTGCTCAGCACGGCCTGAATACCAGCCCACCTCCTCCCCATTCTAAAACGCAGCGGGTAGGTCTGCCAACGACCGACCCCAGGAACTTCAGCCACGTTGGGTGCTGGAGATTCCCAGGGACACCCCAAGCAGCCCTCCAGCTGGTGCAGAATCAACTGGAACAGTTCTCACTAAGTTGATTTTTTGCATCCCAAAGAGGCTCATTTGGAATAGGAGTTACCATGGAGACAGTTGAAACAGCTGAACCTGCAGCAAGGCAGGGAGGGTTGTGACCTGGACTGGGCCACCCAGTCCTGAAGGTGTCCCACCCTTCCTACCTCCTTGCTGTGAGACCCTTTCTCCATACCCAGGAGACATACCAAGGATACTGTGCCATGGGGACCATCCCCCACCAGTGGCTACAGAGGAGTCCTGTGACTCAGCCTGGCCAAGTGTTCTTAGTGAAGGAGAATTGTAAAGACAAAGCCATCTCTGCTTCTGGACAGCATTGTGATCCCAGGAAAGTGGCAGCCTCCTTGCTCCAGGCTCCAGTGAAACCAGCTCCTTGGCCTCAGAGCAGTGTGGGTCAGACAGTCCTGTGGTCATCCTTCCCCATGGTCAGGGATAAGGCTGGAAAAGCCAGCTGGAGCAGAGATGCTCCAGATTGGCAGTTGAAGTTTCCTAATTGTTTATAGGACTGAATAATGTTTATTTTAGATCTTCTACAGATAGAGGAGGGTGCAGGCAGAGCAGGGGGTCCTGAAAAAGAAGGTAGGAAACGAGACAGCAGCCAAGAAAGGCAGACAGACCCAGAACAGAAATGGGGGGTCGGCTCTGCCCCCATTTGCACTGGAGACTTTCCCTGCATGATCTGGCCTCTCCTCCATCTGCACCAGAGAGGGGTCTGGCTGGAACTTCAGGCAGGCTTCAGGCTGTAAAGAGCCCTAGCTGCTCATCCACAGAGGCTCTGCACACCGCTCCACAACCCCCGTGCAGGAAAGGCAGATGGACCCACTGCCCAGGTCTAGGGACGAGGGCAGGTGGACAGCGGTGGTGGGTGGTAACAGCTCCATGCTGAGGCCATGCCATGCATCAAGGTTTCACCAGCCCAAACCTGTGAGGGAGGCTGAGGTGTAGGGACAGGTGCACCCAAAGGCCCATGGGACCCAGCCGGCTGTGCTTGTACCTAGCATACACAGCAGGGTCCCAGGGCAGAAGCAGCCAAACAGGAGGAAAGCCCAAGACCCCACTTCCACTGTCCACCCTCACTTAGTAGGACAACAGTTCCAAGAATCATGGCTTACAGGGACAGGTCCTACAGGAGTAGAGTGACCAGGGAAGATGTGACTCCCTCTCATAAAGCTTCCTGAGGTTTGCCCAGCCACCAGAGCCACCCTGGGGACCCCCACTGCAGAAAGGATCACCACAGCAAGAGCCACCTTGTCGTCGAGGACATTTGGGTCAACAGGTCCTGCCAAGCCCCTGCTGCACCTTCTGAAACTGGGACACAGGACTTCTGCCACAGGGCCTCATGGATTCAGAAGAGAAGCCAGGGCCCCACGCCCAATTCTGGTCAGCTGCAGCTCTTGGGAAAGAGGTCCATGTCCACAGAGGCCCCTATTAGATAAGGACCGTGCCCAGTGCCATGGTTATATGCCAACCCGAGGAAGCATGGGCGCCCACATAGGAACTTCCCTGGTGTGTCTTAGAGGGCGTTTCTGGAGGAGTCTGAACTGTGTCTAATACAGGAGGTGCAGCTTCCCCAGGGTGGGTGGACACTATCCAACCATGGAGAGCCTGAGGAGAACACAGTGTGGGAAAGGAAGAGTTCTCCCTGCAGCAAGATGCCAATATTTCAGCACTGGCCAAGAGCCTGGGACCTGGTGCTGCATCTAATCTCTTATGCCACACGCTGGGCAGGTGACCTCTGGGTCAGTTCTTCCTCCCACCACATGGGGAGATCAGACAAGTGTGATGGGGATGTGCCCCCATCACCTGAGCCTGCTGACAGCCTCCGCTGACACCTCCTGTCCAGGAACCTTGCCTGCTGTAGACTGGGGGCCAGGAGGTGGCAAGGCCACCACTTGTCACCTTGGAGGCCATGGCTATGTTCTAGAGTGACCATAAATGTGATGGCAGGTGCCAATGAGAGTGTGAGAGTGGAAATGAGTGTGTGCACATGTGAGTGAGATGATGTGTGTGAGGGTGTGTA